AGAAATAGGCGGAGGAGCAGTGCTGGTAGCAGTAGTAGTGGCAAGTGCTGGCAAGTAGCAGCAATTGCTGGTAAGCAGTTGTCAGAAGCGGAAAGCATAACGACGAGTAGTTCTGGTAAGCAGTATTGCTAAGCAGTGGTAAGCAGTGGCCAAGGGAAGAGCGGTGCTTGGCAGCGGCGAATGGTTGCTTGGGTTGTTGTGCATAAACATGAGCCAAGGCTATTCTTCAGAAACCATGGCCATGCAGTTCTGAGTTTAAGGGCTGACTGTATGGAGCCTTGCGAGCCCATGGTCGTGTTAGCTATAACGAGTGGTGATTTCTTGACAAAGGTTCGTCTACGAACATACACATTTAGCCATTGATAAGTACTGGCATGCCAGAAATGGCCGATTGAATCAGGAAGGGCCTAGCGACATGGTCAGCAAGTCCCATTTAAAACCAGGAAGTGGCACTGCCAGAGCCAACCCCAAAACATCTCATGGCTGGGTCGGTCCTGGACCTAAGTCAACCACGAGTCGTTTGTGCTTGTAAGCTTGCAAGCAGTGGTCAGTCCTGCGGTTGCTGGTTGGCTTGCTTGGCTGCTCCGGGCCGGCCTTCTTGGCAGTTCCGCGCGGGCGAGGGCAAGTCCCTTCGTGCCCTGAGGCGCCAATGACCCACATCTCAGGCGCCAGCCTCAGCACCCGGACGCGGCCGCCGCCGCTCCTTGCATGAACTTGACAGTTTCTGGGGTGATCAAACTCAGAAACTGGGGTGGGTTCCCGTTTAGCCTGCCACTTGAGGCTGACTTTGATACTGGTAGAATAATGGGGCCAGTTCAATTGCCCACACTTCAAGCTCCATGTGGGCTCTGTGGGAGTGTGGTCTTGCAGTTGTGGACATTCACTTTGGAGGGCCCCCAGGTTCCGCAGTATGGTTCGGGCCAAATGTGCTGGGGCAACACAACCTAATCGCCGAACCGCCCACCGACATTGCGTCCTCAGGAGATACCTGCGGAAGGCAATGTGCCCGGACAGGGCATGTGTGACGAGCCACTTCTCCAAATCACCCCACTTCAGTGTGAGCAGCCCAAGCGTCCACTGAAATTCTGGCACCATCAATTCAGAGTTCTCCGCAAGTCTTGTCTTGGAGGGTGCACCAAAAGACTGTTAAAAGTCACCCTGCTTGTTCAACAGTGTCAAACACACAATCCCACAGAATAAATACAGGGACAAACGACAAGACACCATGATAAGCCTCCGAATCCGTCAGATGTGCTCCTGTTGCACAGCTGGATAACACGCCTTCACCACCCCGGTCAACCCACCACTCTAACTATTGCTCTGCGAGTGAATGTTGCACGGGTCGGCGCCCTTGCTACTGTAGTGTTCCGTATTGAGATTACTCCAGCTTTTGCGAGGTTGTTTACTTTAGGCGCTGTTCAAGGTTATTTTCTAGAACGCAAGAGCACAAATCAACAGGTCTGCACAAGGGCGAGAAGGGACTAACCGTCGAAAATAGAACTGCATTCGGAGAATGTCCAAAACATTACCGATGTGTAGGTGCTTGGCAATCAAGTCAACGCAAGCCCGGGTTGCTTCAAGTCGCAACCAGGTGGGTGTGTCAACTTCCTTTGGGTATTTCACGTAACATCAAATGGAGGCCAACCATGTCATTTCAAAATCCCCATTTTGAGACAAGCCCCAACCCACTTGAGGCCCATGGCGGTATCCATTTCCTTTTGAGTCAATCAAAGGCATTAACATGGGCCCAACATGTATGAGTCCAAACTTTGCAGCTTACTCGACTTTTCCTCACAACACCTTCCTTCCAGCCGCGCACCTGGCTGAGCCGCGCTTGCACCGCCCAAAGCCGGCCTGGAGACGGACAACAAACGTGCCGTTGGAGAAAAGCCTTCCCAAATAAAGATGGAACCTGAAAGGGTGCATTTTCCTCGTGGGGCGCATCTTTGTCTTGGAGGGTGTATCTGTATGTCTAGGGGATGATTCCTTTTCCATCCTTTCGAACCATCGTCATTCAAAGATCAGGCAGTTCCCCTGGATTTTGGTGGTTTGCTGGACAGAAAGATCCCTGAAAAAGAATGGGGAAGTTGTCCCTGGATATGGTATATCAGGGAATAGGCTGAGTTGCGAGTTGCAACGCGTGATGCACATATATATATATTATATATATATGTGTATGGGCACACTTTGATTCCGCGCTCGCTTCCAAGTTTTCATGTCTTGAGGGGGGGGGATGTTTTCGTGTTCCCGGAAGGCAAGCAGGTCGGCCTGCGAGGGGTTGGGGGGGGGGGGGTGTTCTGTGTGTTGCAGACCATTGACCTTTAGGCAATTAGTTTGTATCCCCTTTTTCTACCATAGAGTTCATCCTGGGGGGATGTTTTCGTGTTCTCCGAACTCCGTATCTTGAACATCAAAGACCACGCTGCCAAGAGGTGCTACATGGACGGGCACATTGCTGAATACATGCTACAGACCAATGCCGGACAGAAGATGCTGGAGGCCTTTGTTGGCCTCGCTGCTCAGAGATTCTCACGAGTATGTTTCAACTTTTGACGGCTTAGAGGGCGAACAGTGCTTGTGCGTCGTCCCCTGCAGCACGGAATCCAAGTACACCTGTGTGTGTGTGTATGTATATATATATATGCCGATGTGCAGGTGTTATGCTCATGCGTGAGTATACGTATCACATATGTATGCACTGTGTGCATGTGAATGTATTGATGTATATATATATATGTATATATATATACATATATATATATATATATGTATGTATGTACATGTATACACGTGCAGATCATTTGACACTCTTACAGATTCGTTTGTCGCAACACTTTCCGCAGCCATCCAGCTCGACTCAGACCCCCGCGCTCCAAGTCCGCTGCTGCGGCCTGCCGTTCGCTTGGATGCCCCCCATTTGCCTTGAGACTGGGAGCGAAATTTGGGGGAGGCTTAGCTTTCCATTAAAACCGGCAGGGCAAGGCCAGCACCCTGCACAAATCGCCAGAGACCCCGACCAGGCGTTGCCCAAGAGTGCCACACCCTTCCGGACTTGATCTTGCGAAGGTTATGGCGCCGTTGCTCATGAGGCTTGCTCTTGAACCTCTAGCAATTGGAACGGGCCAACATCCTACATTCCCGCTGCTGCACAACGTTCTGCCACATGTACCCCCTCGAGTCCCGAGTACCGGAAAGCTCTGGGTGCCTGCTTCAACCCAAACGTGGCAAACAATTTTCGCGCGAATCCCCCAGGAGTCACACCTTCTGCTGCAGCAGCAGCAGCCGAGCTGAGCCTCAGCCCGTCATCGAATCGAGGTTTGTGGGCAAAATGTCCAGAGCCCCCCCCGCCCCCCCGCGCCCAGGCAACGACGCGGGAGAAGGAAAGGCCGACAGGCACGCTGACGCCGTCAGCTCACACGAGGTGCACCAAGCAGCCCCTCCGTAGTGTGAGTTCTGTTCAAATCAACCAAATCAAGGTCCTCGCTTCAGCCATGAGCAGAAAAACAAACATGAATGGATCGACCAACATAATGTGGGAGGGATGCGCATGACAGCGAAACACCCCGCGACACGCAAGAATCAAAACGATGGCTTTCCTTGTCCTTCGAGATGCCACGCCCGCAAACAATTCCGTGCCATGCCCCAATCGCAAAGCAGCCGGCGCGCATCAGAACCCCGGAGCCCGAGCCGCCGGCGCATGGCGCGCTGGGGCGGAACCTCCGAAGGCTCGAAAGAAAACGGGCCGTGAGGTGCAGCAGGCATCTCCAAGACCCCTTTCGGTGTGTGGATGTGTGTTTTCTTTGTACGGGACCACCAACATGGCTGGCTTCCTCTCGGAGACGCCTCTCTTGGGAAGAGCTCCACCTCTCGACGGAAAGTTGCACCCTCCCACCCGCTCCTGGTGCAGTCGCTTGCGGTTGATCGGAGTTCTCCGAGTTCGAAGTTCGAGCTCTCGGAGCAAACCACATCCCGAGCCTCATCCATCCGGACCCATGGCACACAATACCTCACGACTGCTCACAATATCTCGCATGGTACATGGCGTCTGCTGTCAAGATTCATCTCCATATTTTTTTTGCCTGCAACCTGCAACTGCTTCCTCTCATTTCACGCGCTGCTGTTCAGCTGCGGCAACGCATATCTGCTGTCAACTGACTCACTGTGCTCACATAGGGTAATTACTGTGCGTCATGTCGCCCTCGATGGGATTCCGAGTGCGAGTGAGGAAACAAGCAGGACAGGTCCACGCAAAAGAAAAAACAACTCAGGTTAGCCGTGCCATTTTCAAGCAAGCGCTGCTCGATGCCTGTCTGCAGCACATGGCCTTGTGTCGAAATGGGTGAGACCCCCTGAAATGCATGGTAGCATTATGGTCTGCTGCCTACCCATCATAAGGGGGTCCCACATTTCGGCCTATTTCCACATGTTCTCCGGAGTGGCAACTTTGGGCCATTCGGCCTATTGTCTACGCATCTGATGTTCTCAGAACGAAGAAAGCTTATAAGGGGTGTCCAAGGCAGGTCGGAGCCAATTGCTCGACGCGGATAAAGGACCACTCGCTACTTTAACAAACACCCGACCTGCTTGACCAACTTGCCAAAGAGATGCTACCCCGCTGTATGTTTTGCAAAGCATACCGTTGGGAGTGGTTGAACCCGTCGGCCAGTCGGACACCACTCAAAGGTCTGCCATGGTCAGCATTCTGCCCCAGGGAGGTGAGAAAAGTTACGAGTCGGCCAAGCAGCCAAGTGCAAACATAATGAATGCTCGACAAGCAATCGGTCCCCTCAAGAAAGCGCTCATGATCACGGCACAAATCAGCCACTGATGGTCTAACTGGTTCCCCAACTTGACACTGCGATATTGAAGTGTCTGCAACCCCTGGCTTTTATGCGAGCGCAGAAAACCGCACCCTAGGACCACCACCCTCGTAACTGAACGCGTTGAGCATCTTGAATAACCCCAACATCCGGCCATGAAAAAACGGGCCCCATAAAAACGGTCAAGGAACTTCGCACATTCCCAGTGCTTTGGCCGGACTCGGCGGCCCTCAGGCCCAGCTGTCAGTGCTGAAGCGCCGGATCCGGCCCGAGCTTTCGCGCTCCGCGGACAGCTCGTTGACCAGTGACCGCGAGGCCGCGCACGCGTGGCGCACATTCAGCAAGCAGTCGTGGGCCTGGCGGAGAAGATTGCCAGCAACAGATGTCCTGCAAGGGAAGTACAAGGTGGAATCTGCCGAAATTGTCAAGGCCTCATTTTGGAGGAATTGGAAAAAGACATGTAGACTGCTATCATGGCTGCGAGCTCAGAAGCCAGCCAGTGCACGCTTCCAGGCCCCCAGCCAGTTCAGCCCAAGCAACCCCGCACCAGCACCAGCCTGAACGTTCCCCGCCGCAGCCCCAAGCTAGCCCGCAAGCCAAGCCCCCAGACGCAGCCCCCTCGACAGCTCAAACCCCACTGTTCGAAAAAACATAAAGACCCCAAGTCTCTCAAAAACCAAAAAAATAGGACCCCTAACTAACAGACCCCGAGCTAACTGACAAACCCCCAACTAACAGACCCCTAGCTAACTAACAAACCCCTAACTAACAGACCCCGAACTAACTGACAAACCCCTAACTAACAGACCCCTAGCTAACTGACAAACCCCTAACTAACAGACCCCTAGCTAACTGACAAACCCCTAACTAACAGACCCCTAGCTAACTGACAAACCCCCAACTAACAGACCCCTAGCTATCTGACAAACCCCTAACTAACAGACCCCTAACTAACTGACAAACCCCGAACTAACAGACCCCTAACTAACTGACAAACCCCTAACTAACAGACCCCTAGCTATCTGACAAACCCCTAACTAACAGACCCCTAACTAACTGACAAACCCCGAACTAACAGACCCCTAACTAACTGACAAACCCCTAACTAACAGACCCCTAGCTATCTGACAAACCCCTAACTAACAGACCCCTAACTAACTGACAAACCCCGAACTAACAGACCCCTAACTAACTGACAAACCCCTAACTAACAGACCCCTACTAACTGACAAACCCCTAACTAACAGACCCCTAACTAACTGACAAACCCCTAACAGACTAACACTGACAAACCCCTAACTAACAGACCCCTAACTAACTGACAAACCCCTAACTAACAGACCCCTAACGAACTGACAAACCCCTAACTAACAGACCCCTAACTAACTGACAAACCCCTAACTAACAGACCCCTAACTAACTGACAAACCCCTAACTAACAGACCCCTAACTAACTGACAAACCCCGAACCAACAGACCCCGCACTAACTGACAAACCCCTAACTAACAGACCCCTAACTAACTGACAAACCCCGAACTAACAGACCCCTAGCTAACTGACAAACCCCGAACTAACAGACCCCTAACTAACTGACAAACCCCTAACCAACAGACCCCTAACTAACTGACAAACCCCGAACTAACAGACCCCTAACTAACTGACAAACCCCTAACTAACAGACCCCTAACCAACTGACAAACCCCTAACTAACAGACCCCTAACTAACAGACCCCTAACTAACTGACAAACCCCTAACTAACAGACCCCTAACGAACTGACAAACCCCTAACTAACAGACCCCTAACTAACTGACAAACCCCTAACTAACAGACCCCTAACGAACTGACAAACCCCGAACTAACAGACCCCTAGCTAACTGACAAACCCCTAACTAACAGACCCCTAACGAACTGACAAACCCCTAACTAACAGACCCCTAACTAACTGACAAACCCCTAACTAACAGACCCCTAACGAACTGCCAAACCCCGAACTAACCGACCCCTAACGAACTGACAAACCCCTAACTAACAGACCCCTAACTAACTGACAAACCCCTAACTAACAGACCCCTAACTAACTGACAAACCCCCAAACTAACAGACCCCTAACTAACTGACAAACCCCTAACTAACAGACCCCTAACTAACTGACAAACCCCTAACTAACTGACAAACCCCTAACTAACAGACCCCTAACTAACTGACAAACCCCTAACTAACAGACCCCTAACTAACTGACAAACCCCTAACTAACAGTCCCCTAGCCAACTGACAAACCCCTAACTAACAGACCCCTAACTAAGTGACAAACCCCTAACTAACACACCCCTAACTAACTGACAAACCCCTAACTAACAGACCCCTAACGAACTGACAAACCCCGAACTAACAGACCCCTAACTAACTGACAAACCCCTAACTAACAGACCCCTAGCTAACTGACAAACCCCTAACTAACAGACCCCTAACTAACTGACAAACCCCTAACTAACAGACCCCTAACTAACTGACAAACCCCTAACTAACAGACCCCTAACTAACTGACAAACCCCGAACTAACAGACCCCTAACTAACTGACAAACCCCTAACCAGCTGACAAACCCCTAACTAACAGACCCCTAACGAACTGACAAACCCCTAACTAACAGACCCCTAACTAACTGACAAACCCCTAACTAACAGACCCCTAACTAGCTGACAAACCCCGAGCTAACAGACCCCTAACTAACTGACAAACCCCTAACTAACAGACCCCTAACCAACTGACAAACCTCTAACTAACAGACCCCTAACTAACAGACCCCGAAAAGACCCTCCGCTCAAAGGGCCTGGGAATACGCGGCCACCCGGAGAAAGGCCAGTGACACCTCAGGGCTCGATGCAATGTGGTACCCTCAAAAAAAGACAGACCCATGAAAACCACGACTTTTGGCTCCAAAGTTGTCAAGGTTTATGTATCAGGATGTAGTCCTTGCCATACCCCACCTACCAACCTACCCACCCACCCACCCACCCACCCACCCACCCAAAAAACGAGACTTCGTTGAAGGAATCATGTGTGCACCCCGCGCCCCAAATCTCAATATTGAAATGTCATCGCTTACTTTGTGCGATTGACTTTTGAAATGCTTTGCTCACTGGTGCTTGGTCCCTTAAAAATAAAGAACAACATTGAGCATGGCGGGCGTGGGGTTGACTCATAGTGAAGGGATTCACTATGTTGTCCATGTACGGTAGTAGAACCATCTAAAACAGCTAGGCAAATGTTTGGCTCCTCTTGCCAAGGCGAGCAATAACAATCTCGACACATGGGACATGTGGTCAATTACTCTCTGTCTCACTCTCTCACACATTCAAGAGAAAGACGTGTGGCAAAAATGTTGGCTTGTGTCGACAAAATTGCGCGCGCTTTTGCGTTGGGAAAAATGCACGAGTCTTTGGTGATGGGGCTCCGCACAGCGACGGGAAAAGCCGCTTCATGCGGGCAAACTAGAGACCCCTTGGTTGAAAGGTCAGTGCTGAAACGTGAAACAAAGACCCACCGACGGTTTGTGGGTCCCAAGCCCCATGGCTGCCTCGGGCATCTGGTGTGGACTACATGTGTTCTGGATGGGCCAAAGGATACAGCTGAGTCCACCCGCCTTCTGTGCTTATTACGGTATGGTCTGGTCTTGTCTGGTATGGTACGGTATGGTACAGTCTAGGGTGTGTACACTCCCTAACTGTACTATATCTGTATATATATAATAAATGTATATGCATGTATACATGTATATACATATATATATATATATACATGTATACATGCATCTACATTTATACCCGACATAAGAAAATCCACGTAGACGCCTTCGCCCACGTCTCCCCCCTCCCCCGCTCTCCCCGAGTGGCCCCGGAGTGGCCCGCCAGCAGCGCCAGCAGCGGCTGCAGCGCCGCCCCGAGAAGCGCCGCGTAGGCCAAGCGCCGCAGCAGCCGCTCCAGCCTTCGGTGGGAAAGCAACTGGACAGCGACTGGAGCATAGGCGACCGAAACTGGAAACATGGATATTTTTTTTGGTTTCTTATGTTCTGTTTTTTTGATTTGTTTTATTACTTTCTGGTGAATGGGGAAAAAGATGCAAAACAAGTTTGAGCAGTGGAACCCACCTATTTCTAAGCAAACTAACCTACAAAAAAGGACAACGGCATTGGGTTCCAGAATGTGCAGAAACCAAATGGACAGTCTGTGTGCCCCGTTGGAGCAGTTCGAGTTCGAGTCCAAGCCTAGGGGTTGGGGGGGAGGGTGCAAGCAGTGGCTTGAACATGTTACAGGGCGAACAAATGCCCGGATTCAACCTGGTGGTTCATCAGGGCTCCACAAAAAGGCAAGGGTTCCCTCTGAAATGAAACAACCCCATTCCCGATCAACTGGTTTATTCCAGGGTTCCCAGTACAGTCGAGCCATTTGCGGTTCGCACAGGCAACACGCCGTTTCGACAAGTAACACCGACTCGGTCCGCGGATCGAGTGTGGGCAGGAAAAAGGCTGGCTAACAGACCCACCCCGTTGAACATAAAAAAGCAAAATAATCAGTTGGTCTGTGATATGTCAAGACACGCACATGCTGAATTTTGATGCTGGGTGATGATCATGATGAGGCGAGGCGGTTTCCCCGGAAACAGGTTCGAATGATCATGATGATGAAACATGCGAAAGGATGTGTGATCATCCTAGAAAACACAGATTCTACTCCCAAATGAGGATGATTGTCGTTTGAAAAGTTACTCAATATCCAAAAAACTCGAACACAAGGGCCCCGCCTGAGGGTTGAAGGTCTTTTCACACAAAGAAGGGCAAAGGAGATCCACTGGAGGAGGAAGAGGAAAGGCGCAAGGCATAGAGGTCCCTTCGCAAATCTGCGCGCATGCACTGTGCGAAGACACGTATAAGAAAAGCAGGTCTGTAACGTTGGCGGTCTGAGCCGGAGGAAAGACTTAAGCTAGCAAATGATAGTGCTTGAGATTGACTTTCAAAGTAAATGAGCGGTAAACTGACTTTGTTGAATTCCAGCTATTTGTTCGCATGGATCGTAGCGCTCGCCGCACTCCAATTGGCTGTCGGCTTCCTGGCGAAATCCAAACAGGAGGTGGGGTTGCTCCTTCCAGCATGATGCGCTGCCTGCAAACCTTGCCTCTCTTCTTTCGAACAAAGTGCCGAACATCCTGACAGGGCTTGGGTATGATTGGGCCACAGGTATGATTGGGTCGAGGTTTCAGTAATCTTACTAGGTTGGTGGTTGGGGCAACGCTCAAAAACCAATCCCAAAGCAGCCCTAAAGCCACTGCTTCACCAGCTGCAGACCTGGAACAAATCAGCTCCAAGCCAACCCAAACCCACCCAGAGTCAACTTCAACCCTACACCTACCCAACAACAGCCTGAATATCAGCCCTTTTGCCCTTCGTGCACCCCCAACCAAACGAGGACCCGCCCTCCTTTGCCAATCAACCAAACAACCAACGGACGAACAAACGAACCAACCAGAAACCAGACCAACAAAAAAAAAACATCAGCCGGCATGGCGAAGCCTCTATTGAAGGGTGACAATCTCTACCAACCCTCGAAGGCCCGCCGCGTTTCTCAAACCGGGCCGCTGCTGGAAGTGCGTGGCCTCCCGAATGCCTTGGCCTCAGGCATACGGGCTCTCCAGTTTGCTCCAAAGACCAAAGGGACAAACGAAAACAAAAGGACTGCCTACTAAGCTCACCTGACTCTCTATCCGTGAAATACAATGACGACTATTGCACAATGAACAACTCCACCAAAACCATCCGTTTTATCCGTTTTAGGGGTCGCCCATGTCAAGCTCCGGCCTGCGGTTTTAGGTTCGCAGAGTCTGAGTGCAGCGCCGTCGACGCGAAAAAGGAGCCCGGACCGGCTGTAGTAAATGGCCTGCGTGCAGTTGTTTGCAAGCAGCAAGGGCTCCAGGCAGCAAAACGAGCCATCAACGCGTAAAGTGTATGCCTTTTCTCTTGATTCTGCGATGATGTACTGCTTCGCAAGCCGAAGTTTCTTTTCACTGCTGAGGCCTTTGCGGGGCCAAAAAGCATCATGCAAAAAAACTCTTCTGGAGGGCTTTCCTGCTCGAGAGGTAGCACAAGACGCGGCATAGCCACAAATTATACACTATTTCGACGCTCTCCAAGGGCCCAAGGGTCGAAGCCAAACCGGATGTCCTGAAGGCCCAGCGCATAGTACAGCGCTCCTGGGCAGGCCAGCGCACCGAGTCGCATGTTGGATGATCCCAAGTGGAATGCAACTACCATAGGAAAGATCCAACCGAAAGCCAGAGAAATCTGGATTTGGTTGGGGTTCATATCCACCAACCACTTTTCAGGTGGTTCCAACATTCCAAGATGTCGTGGCCACATGTCTGTTCGAGTGCCCAGGCTCCGTAGGCAATATTCAGCTGCAAAGCCAGCATCGCCCTTCGTGCATGCCACTTGGTCGGCGGCACGCTGGGGCGCCTCGGGCGCAGAGGCACCCAAACGACTCGCCGAGGCTTTGCAGTTGTTCGATATGGATTTGGATACGGATGTTCTTTGCAGTTGTTCTGCTTTCTAGTTGGTCTTCTGTTGTTAACCTGACGATGGATGTGTTCCAGATGTTCGTTGGAAATCGTTGGTAAAGTACTAGATCAACAAGCCCCAACAAACGCTCGTGGACATGGAGGCCCATCAATAAAGCACCAAACGCTTGTGGAGCTCATCAAGGAAGCAAGACCAAGGCACTTCACCTGGATCAGAGAACAGACTACCAGGGCCAACCCTACCACTTTGCTAAGGAGAACTCAAGATTAGGCCTTCTCTGGTCAGCATTCTCTCTACAATCCCCCGAGCTAAGCAAGCTCTTGGGAGTTGTTCTGCACAGAAACAATGTCTAGTTCAGCCGTCGATTAAGACTTGGCTCGGGCAATGACAGCCTCTGCTCTGGCGAAAAACGCCATGGGCTGGCTCATGACAGGCGAACGCACGACACGCACATATATATATATATATATACACAAACACAAACACCAACACCAACACAGACATAGACATAGATATAGACACAGACACGGAAAAAGACACAGACACAGACACAGACACAGACACAAACGCAGACACAGACACAGACAGAGACACAGACATAGACACACAAACACATCTATGCATATATATATATACAAACACTGGTCATGTCAACACTGAAAACCAGCCATGGCATGCAAGCGGTGGCTTGCATCTTCGCTCCTGCGCTGCACCAAGTGCTTCAGACACAAGGCACCATCAAAAATACATCTCACCCTGCAGCTTTCGTGAGAGAGAAAATAAAAACCTGTCAAGCACGTGGACGGTTCCGGGCAGCGCGCATGTTTCTTGCTCCCAAAAGAACCCTCTGAGTCTCGCCACTCACCCGCCAGCGCAATCTCCACGAAGAAACTCGAAAGCCTTCGGAAGGGCCAAAAAAAAAAGACAATCGAAGCCACGAGAAGGCCCGACATTTGACAAGGCATCACCAAACATCTATTGCTTCGCCTCGAAAAGCAAGCAAAGATTGCTTCGCCGTTTGATATGCATGTCACGGCCAGGCTCGCCCCTCGAGGTGCGAAGGTCTGAGACACCCGCAGGATGCAAATCAGGACTCTTCTGGAGCCCTGCATCGCCTGCGAGCCGAAAGTGGTCCATGGGGTTGAAACGTCTAGATCGACACCGTCCAATATCGAGGCCAAAAAAGCTCCTGGCCTTCACACATGCCAAACACGCAGTCGCAAGGATCCTGGTGCAACCAGCGCCAGGGAGCAAAATCCAAAGGGGCAAGCTTTGCGACCTGAGCTTTTGACACGTTGGAGCCCCACAGCGGGTGCTTTACCATGGGCAGCATCCAGTCCCCCGGAGTTCCAGTCCCATTGCAACCCGTGGCGCTGCGAAGGTCCAGTCCCCAGCATCAGCCCTACGTGCCTGAATCACTTGTTCCTTGTGGAATGGCCATATTCTTAAGCCAGGATCTGTAAAATGTGTTTTTCTTGTTCATACCCGGACAACTTTTTGCACACCATCTTCTATTCATCCCAAAGGACCAACTCTTGTGGCCCATCCTTGCTCAGTTGATTGCTTTGACAATATGCATATCATGCGTAGACATCAGTCACGATAGGGTGCACAAAAAATGGGTACTGTCTAGTACTGTCCCTTTGGTCTCCTTTTAACTAAGCCCAAAAAATGGTACCCTCAAGAAAGACACAGCCCAATATGCTCAAGCAGCTGCTAAGGCCCGCGTTCCTGGCAGGTCCTCGCAGTGCCGCCAAATTGATATGGGACAAAATGAAGCACCTAACTTGGCATGTCTCAAAATGGTCGAAACACACTTCCAACAGGGACAACATTGCAGGGTCAATGCCCTTCCCAAACCCAAACAACCAACATACCCGATTTGAAGAGGCCCTGCAAAAAGCACAAACAGGCTCTCAAAATTACGGACCCCCTCCTGGTTGGTTCACTTTCGGTTTCCCTGCAAAACCATACCAAAACCAAACATGGTGTAAGAAACTCCCAAGTCGCCTCCCTCGCCCGGGCGCTCGCTTCTCGCTTCAGTGGCCGCCTGCTCCGCCAGCTCAGCGGCCAAGAAGCCCCGGGGCGGCGTGGGCGGGGTCGCCAGCACCGGCGAGTCCGCCAGGCCCGCGGGCCGGCCCTCGAGACGCGGCCGGGTTCGGCCACGGCTCCGGGAGTCGTTGAGTTTTTTTTCAAAAAAAACATGCGGCTCGGGTGTCCAATCTTGCGTGGCATGGGCAGTGCCGGCAGTGCGGTTCTTTGGTTCTGTGGATTCTCTGGCATGGCCAGTGCTAACAAGACCAAGCCTGGTCTTGTGTTAACAAAGGGTTCGGGGTCAAGCTTCAGCTGTGTCGGGCACTCAGTTGCAGTAGAATTGCCGGACCGGGCTAACCCTCTTGCCTTTTCGGGCTTTCCTGCCCCTTGATTCCCACAGCGACAAGCACAAGCTTGGCGTGAGATATGCATAGCTTTGCTGGGTGCACATCGGCACAAGGCTCGCTTTCACCACTCCTGTGGCAGGAGCTTATCTTCTTTGACACTTGTTCGGTTGGCATTGCAGGTTGAATGACCCACTGGTGGCTTTCCAGGTGAGGCGGCTTCCCCGAGCAACGACCGGGATGATGGAAATCCATACCAATCACGGCTTCTAAACATAAGGAGCTCTTTCTGGTTGGGAAAAGGGTCCAAGATCTTTTCTCCACCCTCATGGTGTCTGAAGTTTCCCCGTGAAAAGCCCTTCTCACAGGTCTCTTCCCAAAACTGAGATTGTACTGTGCTCTCCTAAATATTTGCAAGGGAGTCTACAGTGACGTTGATGAATCTCCTACATGTCAGCCGTCTTTTGTTTTTTGCGGGATCACCAACTGTTCCCCACATGCAACATCTGAGATACGCCCGTGCTGTGGGTGGATGAAATCCTGCGCCTAAGAAAGTTTGGAATGATGATTCCGCTGTAAATACCAACATAATTACGCTGGTTTCCCCTGGTTTCAAAGTGATGCAGGATTTCGTCCCTCCACACTAGGGGGTCAGGAGCAATTCAGGGGATCCGAAGATCAGTCAGGCCTCAGCGAGGCTGCCATCTGGCTGCCGCACCAAGATGGGATCCTCGTTGCCATGGGCAAAGTGGAGAGTAGATACCGGGGGCAAAAACGTAATCAGTAATCCCCTAACCAGCGCTGTGACTGAGAGAGATTTGCCAAAACTCGGACTTTTGTGAAAATTGAACGCAACCCTCCCAGGCGCAATGAAGGGATCGGACATGGCGTCGTGATTGCTGCAGGAATTGTGAAGTGGTTCAAGGAGTTTGACATACTTCAGTCCAGTGGCCGGCCACAAAAGATTGGTGGAATGTGCATCTGTGTCAGCAAAAGCAGTTTGCAGGGGATACAGTCAATGTGCCCAGGCCAAGCCTCTGGCATTGCTTACAATTAAACCACCAGGGGACCGCAGGTTTTGTTTCCACTTGCCAGGTTCCATGTTGGGTACACATGTTTGACCCAGCCAGGTGAGAAACCCGTATCTCAGAGGGTTGCAAGCGGGAAGACCAACTTGGTCCGAGGAGCCAAACCCATGCCTCGTGGCAAGTCATTCATCCGCGCAGGCGGGG